TCGTTGGCCACGTGATAAGGAACCAACAGAAAATCCGAACTTTCGCAACTAATTCTCCAAGGGAAAGTCGGAGGTAGAAGAGGAAAAATGGTTTTGATTAGCCAATTAGCCCCGAGAAATACTTTCGAAGTCAATACTATCGAATTATTCAGAATACAACTGAATAAAATACGCATAATCATGATAATGGCCAACATCCGGCCCTGTTAATCGCACATGAAGGAAAAGCAATTATTTTGCAGGCATATAACTAATAGTTCATGTAAATTAATATTACTTTTCTCCTGCATTATTGAGCGTCAGGTAGTCTAAGTTTGTCCAACAGCAGTTATAAAATCGTTATGTCGAACACCCGTTTGGCATGTCCAACTCTCCAAGCAGATTATGGTTCCAAACTGTACGAAAAAAATTCGACAAATCTTTAGAATTATGGTGTTTTGTTCATTTTCAGTTACTTGTTAGATGCTGAACGAAGCGTTTCCGGACTTATATTTACTGGAATTTTTTACTTTAAATTAAATTGACATTACCCTAATTCCGACTCACCTTGTATATTTATAAAAAAATAAATTAAAACGTGTTACTTATGACGCTAGTTTGGGTTAGTTCACAATTCACGTAGATAAAACGTTGATGACATGACCAAAAATCGACGTAAATGAGTAGCCAACCTTAGCCAGTTCGACTTGATAACATATTTCATACAAAAGTTCTTTTTTTTAAATCGTTAAAAACAAGAGCGTTTACGTTTCTGGTGCTTCCTCTCTCAACCTAGATATTAACGACGAAAAGCTATCAAGTTATGATTAGAAAAAAGTACAATTTTTGCAACAGAATCAAAACTTGATGGTATCATGTATAGGGTGTACGGGATAAGCGCGTACTAAAATAAATTTGGAATATTGGAATCAGATGTGTACAAGCTACTTTAATCAACTCAAATAAAATCTTGATTTGTAAATAAAACCAAAATCCCAATTTAGACAAAAGAGAAAATGTTGGCAAAACATTTTTTAATTGATGGCAAAGACGGAAGTTGAATGTGTTAACGTGAAATTAAAATCGGGTTGTTTCTGGGAAATAAGTAGGTACATGTTCATAGAATATTAGTCAATTTACTCCAATTAATCATAGAATTGTGTGTTGAATTGTTAAAAAACTAAGAAAGTTAGAAGACAAACTTTTACTTACTTCACACAATAGGTACGTACACTTACGTACCTATTGTTTATTAGCAATGATTCAAAACTGTTTTGTTCAGCATCAACATTAATTTCAGCAAGAAATTGGCTTAAAAGTTACTCTGGCTAAGCTTTTCGGAAGAAAAATAACTGCTATTAATTATTTTCTACTTATTAATTAATTTCAGTGTGTACACACCTGCTTCATTGCTTCCTTTTATTAATTAGGTACGTTGTAATCTTGAAAATGGCTGAAGAAACTTGCCAACTTAAATTATACGAATACGATTATGTTTATCAATAAACAAAAAACCGAGCAGTCAGGAACCTGACCTTCTTGAAGTTTTTTGAAAGAACCCACAATTTGATTAATGCTTTTAGCTATTAATAAACTTTCCCAGCGCTCTTATTAGGCACCGAGGCTGGTGCGTCTGAAACCGCATACAAATGCCGAAAAACGTCTTGTTTCCCCATTTGATTTTTATTTATATGTGTGCCTAAAGAATACAAACAGACACCTAAGGCGCCACTTCAGCAGGTAAGTTTGTTTTGTCCTCTTTCAAAGCTTCCACAAACGCGTAATTATCGACCCCTGTCAAAACGGGGGATTGAGTCTGTGTGCGTTGCCTTTTTCAGAATGTTTCACGAAACTAAACTTTTCATAATTATTGGGCGATTTGTGGTCAAGGGTTTTTGCGTAAATCCGGGAGGCACTTACCAGTAGCTGAAAAATGGTAAAAGTATCAGCTTAGGGTTGAATACCAGTTCAGTGTGAAAGGGGTACCTACCTATAATGTATGGTCTTTTTTTGTGGCTTTCTCTGGATCCGTTAAAAAATGGACTTGCCCCGATTTCAGTCCAACAATGATGAATGAATTTGGTGTTACATTCGTTTATTTATTGAGGAAGATTACGGCTGAACCATGAGATTCTTAGGGATTATTTTTTTGCGGATAAGTAAACCGGGAAACTTTTTCAAATTATTTTGTAGTGTGCATAAAACCCAAATGCTGGATTTAACCAAAGTTACATTTTTTAATTGGATTATCATGCTATTAGTGTCTAGGACATACGATCCAAATAAATGCGAGTTCTTTTAAGGTTTATCTTGCTGAAAGCTTGTGGTTCCTGAGAAATTTGGTGTTTTGGAAAATGAGGATTTTTTCAAAGACTTTATTTCTTTTTAATTCAAATTATGCTTGGCGGCTACAAATAGAAGAAGTCTTTAATTGAAGGCAAATTAGTAGAAGCTACACTAACACAAACAGGGTGTCCAAGAAATTGTGATTAAACAGAACAGAAATTGTGATTTGGCCGGTTATAACTTACCTACTTATAATAAATGGAACACCCTGTATTGTTTGCTATGAGCAGATGCAGAATTTCATTATCTAATGACTGCAGCTAGGTTTCCTTCGCCTAACTCTCCATGTGTTCTTGAAAATCTCACATATCCAGAGATAATGCGTTAAAAATCACATAATAATTGAAACATGAGTATCTACAAATAAAATAAGATAGGTAATTATCATTTAAACAAATACTCAGGAATACCTACTTCAATTGACTTAACTTTYATAATGCAGTAATTTAAAATGATGTTAAAAAACCCACCGTTTTTTYTGCAAAAAGCGAAGGATGTTTTTTAGTCTTCAGTTAAATTAATTTGTGAATTTGAGAAGCTTATCATTTTCACATTGTTTGACGAAAAGCATTTACTGCATTTTCTACGGMAATTTGCTCTACACTTGTYGATTTTTCAAGGTTTTCCATTGYAGTACACACGCTGAAAGTCTATTTMAAAATTTCAAAATAATTTGAGCRTTGAAGCCCCATTAAGAAGTCATTAAAGTAACATCCCTCATAGAGAAATACCGGYGCCCCTAAGAAAAGGACTTAACTGTAATTTCTTGCTAAATCCTTGGAAAGAAACTCACATTTTTTGTGATTAATAAATGTTTTCTTTCAAAGCTAAACAGAAGTCAACTTTTCGAATGCTTATTTTCTTCAAAAAATTATTTGTTTTCATTAAATATATGATGATAAAATGAGAAAAATTTGCATTGATTTTAATTTACAGTCGTATATAACAAAAAATATTTTTACGCCAAGAACTTACTGAATTATTCATTAGGGTTTGTGAATGTTAAAATTTTTCATATATAAGAGCAAGTAAAAGGTGCAAGCATACGTGTGTGCTTGATAAAAATTAAGTCGATATAGAATTAAATTAATAACAGAATCACCAAGATGCGTTGCATTAAAATTTAAAATACATATCTACTATCTTTTTAGATCGTAAAGGTTACTCGCGTAATCATGCATTGATATCTTTATGTTCATCTTGATATTTTCCGGCTGCGTTGATTGTTATAACTTTATCTTAATAAGATGCAAACTTTATCATTATTTATTTAACGTTTTTGTCATAATTAGTGAAAAAAGTGCCTAAATTTTTTTTGTAAATACTTAGAAGCTTTTATTTGCGATAAAATACAGAACGTCCCAATAAAGAACGACCCGCTTTGTAAGCCATCAATATTAAACCGTTTATTAAATTCCTACTGAAAAAACAAATTTTTGAACAAATAATTAGACATGAGCGAAAAACGCCGTTCATTTCGTAAAAGTTACTTGCCTAGTTGCGCACTGATGTCTTTATTCATTTAACTATTTTAAAGCTTCGTTGAGTTTTCATAGCTTTTTTACTAAAATATACCCGTTTTAATCTCAAGTCGCTTAATTACCACAATTACTCGAAACAATGCCATAATTGCCCCTCCAGTTACTTACACGTCCATATAAGGGAGCATAAATAATAGGCCATTAGCACATAGCAAATTACCTTATTTCAGCTACAATTCAGTTCGATGGGGCAATTGAATAATTTGCAGAATTATTTTGTAATTTTTACTGCAATTACTAAAAAGTGAATTAATTGTTTGAAGAAGCTGTTGTAAATAATACTGAACCAACACCAAAAGCTTAGTGAGGATACCGAATGATAAGCAGCAGATCGATCAATATTAATTGACACAGTGATTAAGAGTCAAGAAACTCGGGCTCAATAAAAAATCTGCATGTTATACATTTCACTGGCTACCAGAGACAAACAATACCTAGCGGAATACCCAGAATTACTTACAAGCGCTCAATATTTCACAGACAAGTGATAGCAAACAAAAGAATAACAAGGCAGATCGGCTTAACTCCAGTTTAAAAGGAGAAAGAATCGAAAAGAGAGCCAATACCCAGTCATCTACATGAAAAAGGGGCAGACAATCGTCCGGGGGCGGCGCCTGGTGATTTGTGGTCGCCATTTTGTCAAATAGTAGTGTTTTGTTAGAAAACCTTATCGTATTGGACGATCTCCCACCTTGCAGCTGAGTTTTGGCCGAAGACGACGAAGATCGGTGAAAACTTAGCTACTAGAGCCAGATTGTTTCGGTCCCAAGGCCCATAGCCAAAGTTGAATGAGCTTTCGCAATACCGCAAAGGCTAAGTCTCTACGGAATATTTCCCTCCATATAAAGTTATTTCTCCACAGCTGCAGCTTCACGCCGACCCTCTCGCCACTCTTCAAAGTGTTTGTCTAGTCCTCAAAACTTTTGACGACTAAATTTCCATATTTTCTTGGTTCAACGTGTAAAATTGAAACGTCTTTCGACTTCACAGGCTCCGCCCCCAGCACCGGAACTCCTCCCATTAGCTGAAAGCCCTCCAATCAATCGGCGACCGTGCTCGAAATTTTCCGATGTTGAACGAGGGCACGTTGCCAAGGGTTACGGTTGAAAGCTACTTCAGCAATATTCAGTGCTCTCGCGCTATCCGTTGATGCTATATCATCATCGCTCTGTTTTTCATGTAGTGACAATGAGATAGATTCGGTGGTAGATACTGTGTTGTGATTTGCTGATTAGTTTCAACAACTCGACGATTAACTGTGATCTGTGATTAGTTAGTGATCTATCTCTATTAGGATGTTAGCTCATGCCAATAAGTAAGTACTTGATCAGTTTCAATGCTGTTATACGTAAAACGGAGCAAATGGTGAAAATTCATTTTCTATCCACGGTGCACCAGACCAATTTTCAATTCGTTTAAACGAGCTTAATTAAAGGAGCATATCTTTCTTCGAACTGGGTACTACTCAAGGTTTGTAGCCTAATTGGACGTTGACGTCTTCCTTTATTTCTGTGGCTATTCGACAATTGTTTGGTCTCTGGATGATTTCTATATGAATAATTCGAGTTAGAGCTTTTCTTTTTCACCTGCTTTAATAACATCAACTTTTTAATGTCTCATGATGCCAATAATTTAGCTGTTTCCCGTGTTTTTGTTAGGTTTAAATCACATTTTCATTACTCTATCGAGCAGGCAGTTGAATTTATATCCATCATGGGTTGCTAACCAAAAAATGAGCATCAATATTGGTTGTCTTAAAAACCGTAATTCTCAAGCAATAAGACGATTTATAGGTTTTTCACTAAAAATTCTATTTGTTTGCTGTTTTCTACTGAAAAACTAGTTTTTAGAGTTTGCTTATCCTAGTTGAAAATTAATACAGGGGTTTTTATGTTATTTGCTGTTTTTGCATTTTTCGCAGACAAAGACAATTTTAGTTAAAGACGTTAAATCTGCTTGAAAAAACGGGGTTTTCTGTATTTTTTATACCAAAGCTTTGTTAGGAAGTCTACCAAAAACAATCCTTCCATTATGGAGTGTTTAACGGTAAATTTTCTGTCAAAAACGCTACAAACCAAAGACATTTTCCTAAATTATATTTTCAGAGAGCAAGACTTATGGTGGATTTTTTTTGGTTAATTAGCCGTCTGCCGATCAACTGAAAATGTACTTTTTTGAACTTTGATTTAAWAAATTMTGGAAGTTGCTTTTYTTACATATGAAAAGCTAGCTTACGTACAAAATCTRAAAAATTCGACAGTAAAGCTAATTTCAGTTCTGTAATAATAATGTAGGTACCTATTTTTTTTCAATATCTRTCTCAGTTAAAATTAAAGTACGAAATATTGATCACWTCASTTGMGCTATGGTTTTYCTGATTTTTTGAAACGTAAAAAAGCATTCTGGTWTAGGTATGTTTTCGAGTTAGTGACCCATTTGCACATTGATGTCTCTGGACTAAATGMARTTTAATRCATTTTTGTTAGAAGTTTTTTTTTTAATAGAATTAATTAWTTTTTTATGTTATCGGCCGTGAGTTTCTGGGACTATTCAATTTTTTATTCGGCTYACAACRTGYTCAAATGAATAATGTTAATATTGCTTTGGTTGGCGGTTGAAGGTTGATTCATTGTTAGGTATCTTTCTAAGTTAAGTTGTAATASGGTGACTTTTACCGTCTCTTTGCATTTGCAATTGCATTTTGTGTCCWTKCAAWTGCATWTAAAATTTWGTTAAGTTYACTGMTGTTTTGAGYTTTTTTAATTCAACAACYTGAATGTAGGTATTTATGACTTTGAGCATTAGCCTGCATCGGGTTACKTGCCTAATTACGCGTTGATCTCTCCATGCTTTTCTTGCTTTACTATGATTTAATGCCGATTTTTTGGTAATTTTTTTTWACAATTATTAAAAGTTCTCAGTCCAAAGGGTAAACTGGAGACATTTTTTGAAAGCAGCCAATTTTCAGCYTATATTTAATTATTATATTTAATATTTATCGCCTWAAACCAGTCTAATAAGRCAMATKTTCTGTGGTTCTTGATTTGATGCCAAAAATCTGGTCAAAAGCTAAATATAAAAACTTTWCATTCCGCTSTGCATAARGATCTTATTGGGCACAAATGAATTATTTGCGGTTTGAAAATGGCAAATGTTTAGTCAGACTTGCAATTTCTTAGAGTTGCATATTTTGTTCAATCGGAACCGCAGAAAGGCC